CAACTGTCATCCAATTAAGGTACATATGATGGTGTTGCGTTAGAGGTTACTTTATCAGTTTCAACTACTATTGATGGGTTGCAAGCATTCCCAGGAGAGTCAAAAGCGTGGTTTAGTCACTCTTATCATAGTTAACTGTGCTCTTATCAACGTGAGCAGAAAATACAAATGTGCAATATACATAAATGAGTCCACATATTCTCATCCTTGCATCATAATTACCGCGACCTAACATCTATTTTCACCCTGGCCTGCTCTCAGTCTGACCTCTAGCTCAGCTGGTAGAGCATTGGTAGTACAATTCCGAAGGTCGTGGGTTCGATTCCCAGCGAGGTTGGAAATTAATTTTTCTGAATTTAATTCCAAGGGTCTTTCGCCCGGAATAACCTCGTTCCCAAGCACTATAAATTATCTAAATTTCTATATCTTCATGCGATATACATAGAGACACACTAGTTTTTAGCTAGTTATATCTTTTTAGAGATTATTTCATGTTAAGAGCTTGATACAGGGCTCGAAATAGAGGCCTGCCAATGGCCAAATGACAGGCCAAATTTAAGGTTTGCCAGGCAAAAATAAGAATGCGATGCCAAATGAAATATAGAATGGTATGAAAAATTTACTGGAATGACCTCATTTTACCATGCTCCTTTACTATGGCAGGCTAAAAAAGTTTTCTATTTCGAGCCCTGTTGATATCGTTTTTTATTCACAAGTTTCCATATGATATTGCAAACAAGCGAGTCTGTAAGCGATTGAGCGATATGATATGGACAATGAGTGAATAAAAACGATATCAGACTCTTAACATGTAATAATTTGTTTATTGCACGTTGATTCTGATTGGTGGACATTTTTTGATATTCTGGATATTAATGTCATCCAATTATTAAGGTATAACCTTAGATTTTATGTTGTCACTTTTAACCAGCTAAGTTGGCCTTCAGAACAAGCTCAAGGTCAGCCAATCAGAATTAAGGATTTGACATCATATTTTGATTAGCATTTCCCATAACTCAGCCACGAGAACCCATGAAATACAAGTCCTTCTTTCAATTGATTGAAACTCTAGTCAAACTTTTGGTGAAATTTTATTTCAATTGACAAGATGATTGTTAATTAATACCACACCATGTTGTATTTCAGAGTATTGTCGCACCCTTGATACAACTACCTCTGTTTGTTTCCTTCTTTATTGGTTTACGGCGGATGGCTAACTTACCTGTTGAGTCCCTACAGACTGGAGGAATATGGTGGTTTATGGATCTCACTACTTATGACCCTTACTTTGTTCTTCCTATTCTATGTAGCTTTACCATGCTGGCATCAATAGAGGTAAAATAATAAAAGAATTTTATTTGTTCCTGGTTTGGAGACTAAAGCATCCAGGAGTAAAGTTCTGTCACTCGTTTTCTGGTAGCGAGAAACAAACAACAGGGCCGGGTTGTTCAAAGCTGGATTAGCGCTAATCCAGGATTAACTCTATAGGTATTATTAAAAGTTAACCCAGGATTAGCACTAATCAGGCTTTGAACAACTGGGCCCAGAACTTTTAATTCAATATTCTATGTGTAGAACTTCAACTTGCATGTTGATTTTTATGGAGGGAGGAACCTGGAGAAAAACCTCATAGCTTAGGAGAGAACCACACATCAAACAAACGCTACTCATGTGTTGGGTATGCAGGGGGTGAACTACCAATCCTGTGAACTCAACATTGATGAGAGAACGATGCATTAAGAGCATAGGCTGCATATGCAACCCAAAATATTTTAATGTAATGTGTAGTTCAAAAATTAGTCATACCCCCATGGAGGAATTTTTTTAAAGACCCCCCTACCCCTGGAAATTTTTCTTCCATACAAACTCTGTAATTTTGTTCCTTCTCTGCCCCCCACCCATGAAAATTCCAAATTCCTCTGTGGGGGGGGGGGGGGGGGGTATGGATAAATTTATTATAGATTAGAAAATTCTAGCATAACCCTGTATTACAAACAGCCTATTTCAGCTTGGGGACATTGATCTTATTGGTGTTTGTTGTTCTTGTGTTTTTAAGCTTGGTGGTGAAGCTGGAGTGAGTAATCCACAGATGCAGAGCATGAAGGCATTCTTCAGAGTCATGTGTATCATTATGATACCACTAACAGCTCAGTTCCCTACTGTAAGTATAAACCTACTTCAAAAAAAGTTATCGCCAAAGGCAATAGGCAATAGGCGAAAAGCGATAGGAGATATGTCATTCCAAGATCCAAGAATAGCTCAGAATGACTTGTGTTTCTGCTTCTTATTCTCGTCAAGAACATGGACCTTAGTGTTGAGACTGATTCAATGTTGTTCGTGGTTGACAAAACCATTTCTGTCTCAGAGTGACCTATACTATACCTATTGTCTTGGGCGATGATGACATTCTCTGAAATATTAGGTGTGTAAATTTATAACAGGGCTCCCAGAAGTCATGGAAGTGAACTCTTCCAAATTCCAGATCCCAAGGGAGAGGTCGCGGCATATTTAAAAATAGAGCCATGCGTGTGTGGGAACAGTTGAGGGTTTTGGCTTTCAAAGTGGCTGTCACGACTCTTCCAAATTACCAATTTAGACACAGTCTTTCTTGTAAGGAAAAAAAATTTTTTTTGACATATTAATTAATTGTTCATGGTGCTTGTTCCAAGACTTATGCCCCATTCACACCTAAACGTGTTTAGTTAAACTATGTTCTCATTAGGAAAAAAATTGAGAAACTAGAAACTTACAATATAGTGAAACTTGGTAGAATATTATCAGAGCAAGACAAAGGATAGCTTACATGCATTATTTCACCAAATATTGTGCAGTGTTTGTAGACAGTTTTACAAACCTGTTTAGTTAAACCACTTTAAAACATGTTTAAGCCTTGGTGTGAATGGGGTATTACACTCATTTTTCATGTGGGCAATAGCATTGAATTCTTATTTTTGTTCTGTTTCCATGTTAGGCTATCTTCACATACTGGATTACTTCCAATATCTTTTCTCTTGGACAAGTATCTTTGTTGAGGATTAAAGCTGTCAGGGAGTATTTTGGTATTCCTGACATGAAACTACACACTGAACTTACGCCTCAGGGTGGATTCTGGGAAAACATGAAAGCAGGTATTTAACTTTAGATTATTTGTTCTTATTGCTGACTCAAAGTCTTACAACTTACTTGATATGTGGGTTCTAGTTCTTCCATCTGTCTATTCCCCCTTCAATCATTACCTCTATCCCTTCCTTTCTTCCTTGCTTGCTTTGTTTCTTCCCTCCATTACTATTTGCCTATCTTCCCAATCACCTATTTATCTTTTTATAACCCATATCTGCCAACGAACCCACCAACTTGTCAACCCTACCATCCACCTACCTACCTACCTACCAACCTATCTACCTTCCCTACCCACCCACCTACCTACCTAGCTACCCATGTACCTACCTACCTACCCACCCACCTACCTATCTACCAACCTACCTACCTATCTACCAACCTACCTACCTACCTACCTACCTGCCCACCTACCTAGCTACCCACCCACCTACCTACCTACCTACCAACCTATCTACCTTCCCTACCTACCTACCTACCTACCTACCTATCTACCTTCCCTACCCACCCACCTACCTACCTAGCTGCTACTTGTCTATCCAACCAACTGTCTACCTACCTATCTACCTACCTACCTATGTACCTATTCAGCTATATATTTATTTAACTTCCTGTCCTTGATAATTACTGGGCTAGACAAGTCTTAAATGTGTAGCACAATCTCCGTTGTGGGTGTTGCAAAATGGAAAAGTTGCACAACAACTATCCCAGCGGTCCTTCCAAGCTGTTTCAACAGGATTTTGGATTGTGTCAGGTTAAACCTCTAGAAAAAATAGTCGACTCTATATACTGTCCCCCTCCCCCCTCCCCCTTCCCCTCCTTCCCAATTCCCCCTCCCCCAAACGCCTTTTGAACATAAAGCTCAAACTGTCATTATAACTAATTTAATACAACTCTCATTTTGATTAGGGAAAGAGCCTGTGTTTATGAATATGACACTAGAATATATATAGGTGATGTCATTAACTTGCACAATATGTTCTCCAAAACGATCGGTTTTCCAAACCCAAGGAATTTTGGGATTTTAATTGAAAAACAGTTTATTAAGTACGTAGCTGTTACTTTCAACTAAACTTTTTGGGGGGGAGGGGGTGGAAATGGGATTTCATTCACAGTCACAGTTTTTGATTTAGTTTTATCATAAATAAATTTATTCTAGACTTCTGCTGTCTATTATGATATAGATCTCTATTGTAGCATGGTGGCTTCATGTAAGCAATTTCAGTTTCCAATTATTTGTAGCGGGTGCATCAAAGAAGTGCCTTAAGTGTTTAAATTCATCATCAAATATTGGGTTGTGACTGATGTCCAATGTGGTTAGTTTGCACTTATTTGTAGCGAGGGCTTCAGACAAGTGCTTTAATCCATCAACACTTATTTGGTTGCCACTGATGTCCAATGTGGTTAGTTTGCACTCATTTGTAGCAAGTGCAACAGACAAGTGCTTTAATCCATTATCACCTATGCTGCTGTCTCTGATGTCCAATGTGGTTAGTTTGCACTCATTTGTAGCGAGTGCATCAGACAAGTGCTTTAATCCATCAACACTTATTTGGCTGCAACTGATGTCCAATGTGGTTAGTTTGCACTCATTTGTAGCAAGTGCAACAGACAAGTGCTTTAATCCATTATCATCTATTCTGTTGCTTCTGATGTCCAATGTGGTTAGTTTGCACTTATTTGTAGCGAGTGCATCAGACAAGTGATTTAATCCATCAACACCTATTTGGTTGTGCCTGATGTCCAATGTGGTTAGTTTGCACTCATTTGTAGCAAGTGCAACAGACAAGTGCTTTAATCCNTTTAATCCATCAACACCTATTTGGTTGTGCCTGATGTCCAATGTGGTTAGTTTGCACTCATTTGTAGCAAGTGCAACAGACAAGTGCTTTAATCCATCATCACCTATTCGGTTGCCACTGATGCCCAATGTGGTTAGTTTGCACTCATTTGTAGCAAGTAAATCAGACAAGTGCTTTAATCCATCAACACCTATTTGGTTGTAACTGATGTTCAACCTGGTTAGTTTGCACTCATTTGTAGCGAGTGCAACAGACAAGTGCTTTAATCCATCAACACCTATTTGGTTGTCACTGATGTCCAATGTGGTTAGTTTGCACTCATTTGTAGCGAGTGCATCAGACAAGTGCTTTAATCCATCAACACCTATTTGGTTGT